CCCTGGCAACCATGAGTTAATTTTCTAAGTCTGTGAGTCTCTTTCTGTTTTGTAAGTTCATTTGTATCATTCCTTTTCAGATTGTGGAATTTCCCATCTATTTCTAGTTTGTGGGTACTTTTTCCAGGAAGAGGTAGAAAGTATGGTTTCTTTTTCTGTAGTATTTTTTTAAATTTTTATTTATTTATTTATTTTTGGCGGCTCTTGGTCTTCATCTCTGCAAGCAGGCTTTCTCGAGTTGCAGGCAGCAGAAGCCACTCCGCGTGGTGCGTCTTGCAGCGCTCTCTCTCGTGGAGCACGGGATCCAGAGCGCGGGCTCAGCCGTTGTGGCGTGCGAGTCAGCTGCTCCGTGGCACGTGGAACCCTCCCACACCGGGGATCAAACCCCTGTCTCCTGCATTGGCGGTGGATTGCCACCAGCGAAATCCCCAGAGTATGGGCTCTCACTCAGCAAGGAAGAAGACTAGTTTGAGGGACGCCTCTCCCAGCAGTCAATACAGTTGACCCTTGAACAAAACAGGTCTTAGAGTGCCGAATCTGGTTCTAACTTTACAGCTGGCCCTTTGCAATTGCAGTTCCTCACCCTTGGATTCAACCAGCTGCAAATAGTGTGGTGCTGTAATACACTGTTTTGTTTTGTTTTGTTTTAATCTGTCAGTGGACCAGTGCAGTTCAAACTTACCTTGTTCAAGGGTCAGCTGTACTCACAGCCATGTTCCTTTCCTTCCATCCCTCCCTCCATATTTTCCCAACAGAAAGCAAAATTCCTCTCTCCCACCTGACCCTAGAGTTCACATTGTGCCCCATGAAGCTGGCTGGGAATGAAAAATGGCATCAATCAGACATCTGGCACTGAATTAATTTCCCCTTAACTAGTTAAAATTTTCCAGCAATTTTTTTTTTCAAGTTGCCACCTGAGTAAATCTTAGACCAAGGCCAATCTGTCTCCAGCTACTGACCTGAGTGTTTGGCTTCATGAAATGTTGCTAAGCACCTTTGTACACCATCTTCGTCCAAGTGTTTTATTGTCACCTTAGGATAAATTCCTGGAAAGAGTGAATAAATGCCTTGGGTGGTTTTTTACATTTATTGACAGTTTCTATCACTTTTGTGAATTACTTGTTCACATCACTACCTATTTCTATATCAGCTTTATGCTTTCTCTACTTAATCATACGTTCTCTTCTATGTTACTGACACTCACCCTCTGTCAAACTTTTTGTCAACATCTTCCCTCATTTTCTATCTTTTTATTGCATGAGCTTTCAAACCAACAAATAAGCACCTTTTTATATAAACAAGGAAGCAGACTTTCTCTTTGCTATTACTGTCAGCTGTGTGCTGGTGAATCAGGCTGACTTCCCAGGTGGCTCAGTGGTAAAGAATCCGTCTGCCAAGCAGGAGACGTGAATTCAGTCCCTGGGTTGGGCAGATTCCCTGGAAAAGGAAATGGCAACCCACTCCAGTCTTCTTGCCTGGGAAATCCCATGGACAGAGGAGCCTGGTGGGCTACCCCCCACAAGGTTGCAAGAGTCAGGCGTGACTCGGTAACTAAGCAACAACCAGCTAGGGTAAACCAGGCTACAAAAAACAAAAAGCCTCATTTTTTTTTTTTAAGCACTTGCCATTATCTATGGTTTAAGTAGTTCCACTATAGCTGATTGCTAGCTACCAACTGACCTGCTTGCAAAATTCCTTAATATTTAACCACTGGTTCTCACAAGTCTTTATAAATCAGCTCCATCAGACTACTGCTACATTTTGCTTTTAGGTTAAAAGAGTTCTTCATAACAAGGTCAGATAAATATATGTGGATGTGTTCTTCTCAAGGGTTTCCCAGGTGGCTCAGTGGTAAAGAATCTGCCTGTCAATGCAGGAGACACGGATTTGATCCCTGGATCAGGAAGATACCCTGAAGGTGAAAATGGCAACCCACTCCAGTATTCTTGCCTGGGAAATGCCATGGACAGAGAAGCATGGCAGGCTGCTGTCCATGGGGTCGCATGAGTCGAACACGTCTGAGCAACTAAGCATGCACGCGCGTTCTTCTCAAAGGTCATATTTTTAGTTAATTTAATTTTCTATTATCCAAGAATGTGCTTACTGAGGAAAACTCAGGAAATACAAATAAATAAAGATAAAATTTCAAATCAATAATAAGGAAATACAAATAAATAAAGATAAAAATTCAAATCAATAATAATCTTACCAGATAGAGACATAATACACAGTATCATTCTTGTAGCAAACATGCAGACTTTTTAATATTTATATAAACATGCTTTAGACTCTTGATGCCGGTCACTAAATTGCCAGGCAGTAAGTCTGTGCAGTTTACACACACACACACACACACACACACACACACACATTCCTCAGATGGCATTGGACCAAGTATTCTGTTTAGTAATCTCTTAATGTGGGTTAGATCCCTGTGTTGGGAAGATCCCCTGGAGAAGGGAAAGGCTACCCACTCCAGCCTGGGGAATTCCAGTACTCTGGCCTGGGTCACAATGAGTCAGACACGACTGAGTGACTTTCACTTTCTTTTTTCTTAATTAAACCAGCTGGTTCTACAGAGAACAGTGTCGGGTGTAGACTAGAACTTTTCCTATGACTTGGGTCCAAAACCAAGGACTAGGAAGTGTAATTTACCCCCTACTCTAAGGAGAGCTGCCAACAATTGGGGCCAGCACTTCCTGAAGCAGTTGGATCAGATGGTGCACAGCCCACCTCCTCGCCATCCTCACATCTTCCCCAGGCACACAGGCATACAGGGAGGCAGTGAGGGTCAGCAGCGCTGAGTATCTGCTTGTGATGTGAAACTGCACCCTGTGAAATGGGGAAAGGAGATGAGCTTAAATGGAATTGGAGATTGAAAATGCTAAGCTACATTGCATTGTTAACACCTCAAAAGGACCGCAGAGGTCAGAAATCCGCTCACAAAAACTACTTCAGACTTGGACTTGGCAGTTGAGACTCCTTATAAACTGACTGACTAGAAAGCCCCAGAAAGTTCCTGTGGCTTTAGAGATCCCTTGAAGTCCCTTTCACTGCCTATAATTTATTCTCATTCTCTTCTAATCAAACCAATCTCCGGAAATCTGGAAGAAACTGACTTCCTCTTTTCCCAGTGTGTGGGTTTCTCTTTCTTCCTTTCTATATTCTCATTCTCACTAGGCTTCCCTGCTGGCTCAGATGGTAAACAATCCGTCTGCAATGTGGGAGACCTGGGTTCAATCCCAGGGTTGGGAAGATCCCCTGGAAGAGGGCATGGCAACCCACTCCAGTATTCCAGTAATCCCCATGGACAGAGGAGCCTGGCAGGTTGCAGTTCATGGGGTTGCAAAGAGTTGGACATGACTGCACGTCAAAGCATTCTCCTCCATTTATATTGCAGACATCCTAGTCATGTCTCTTAACCATGCTCTCGCATCCCTCCATCCCATTCTCTCTGCCAATCTCTCCCTTTCCTGGACTTCAGAACTGTGAGAAATACATTACTGTTGTCTAAGCCACCCAGACTGTGGTGTGTGGCATAGCAGTCCTAGCAGACCCATACACCATTCCTCTCAATGAAGGTCACCAGTCAGGCAGCCCCCCTCCCCTCCTTCATCCCCATCCTCATCCCCATCCTCACAGCAGGTCCTGACAAGGGGCTCAACATGTATTATAACTGCAAGGGGAGGTCATTAGAACCTTTTAAGCAGGGGGATGGCTTAAAATAATTTCTATTTTAAGAATAATTCCTCTGATTGCTGTTTGGAGAATGTATGAGGCAAGAGTGAAAGCAGAGAGGCCAGTTAGGTTACCGTAGTCATACAGGTGAGAGATATTGGTGGCTTGGTCAAGACAGACGTCGGGAAGTCAAGAAGAAATCCAAAGCCATCTCCCTACAGGTCTAGAACTGCTACTTCACGACTCTTTAATCACCCTTTCCAATCCAAGCCTCTGAAGATGGGTAACATGAGTTGATAGTTACTGGCCTCTTTCTGTTATTTTTTAGTAAGTCCAACCTGGCTTTGTCTAATATCTGTTTAAAATGTGCTGATATTTACCACCTTTTTGCAGTTTTGAGGCATTCACCAAAATTCTAACACAACCAGAAATTCCTATTCAATAATCAGTTATAAATAACTTTGGCTTGGCAAGCAGGTAAATCATGTTGGCCTCAACAGCCTATAACACACACATATTTATAAATAGTTGTTGTTTATTTACTCGGTCACATCTGACTCTGCAATCCATGGACTGTAGCCCACCAAGCTCCTCTGTCCACAGGATTTTCCAGGTAAGAAGACTGGAGCAGGTTGCCATTTCCTTCTCCAGGGGATCTTCCCGACCCAGGGATCGAACTTGCTTCTCCTGCTTGGCAGGTGGAATGTTAACCACTGAGGCACCTGGGAGGCTCCATATATATATGTGTGTGTGTGTGTAAAATGCCATTAAGTTGCCACTGAATAATTCCCTATTTGTATAGCGAGGCCAAACATTTTGTAAAGTATTACTCAGATGTGAAGAAAAAAGGGTCTTTAATTTCCGTATCAGGTCTATTTTCTCCCAAAGTAGAGCAGGATGACAGAGCCGACCCCAAGGCTGATGAAGATCCACAGGACTCTCCAAGCACCACTGCTTACAGTTCTGCGGCTGACTTTTTCCTTGTGGCCAGCAAGCCTCATGGACTCCTGCTCACACAACATCCACTCGGGAAAGGAGAGGGGAAAGGTCCCTGAATAGCTGAGCATTCATTCGACAGAGGCTGTTTCAATTTGAAACAGAATGGTTAAACCAGAGAGACTGAGTTACCTGTAATCAGCAAGTCTGAGCGCTAGCTCAGGCCCAGCTTCGTTTCCAGTTCAGCTGAAACATGGTTTTCTGTAAGTCTTCCCTGCATTCATGGAAATAATGGAGGCAGCATCCAGAAATAACTTGAAACCAGTGTCCATCAGAATCCAAGTGAATGATGGTCTCTTAAATTGGATTTCAGACATTTTATTTTTTTAACCTTTCACATCATCGTTTTCAGTGACTAGTCTTAATTTAATATTAAAAGCAGCTCTAATATTAGCCCAAAAGAGTCCCTGTTTGTTCTTCTCCTTGGGCCATTCCAAATAAGTTCTCTGTGCCATGAGAGCTCTTAGCCTGTGATATCTATCAGGAATGGTGTTCTGTGGAATGGGTTCCAGCAAGATTAGGATTAAGTTATTAGATCCTTCATGGAAGAGATTATGGTGGGCAAAGTAGAGTTCATAATGGCACCACTCACTCTGGACAAAGTTGGGAGACAAAACGAAGATGGACTTGTAGCTTTTCTCAATGCAATTGATAATATTTTCCACGATGCTCTTGCCAGCAACAAAGTTTCTCTCATGGAGACAAATCCTTATATTTTCTTTTTCTAGACAAGGTACCAGTTCATTCTTCACCCAGGCAGAATCGTGCCCGCTGTATGAAATAAAAGCATGGAACTGGAGAGTTCTTTGGAGTTCTTCCAAGGGCACATTCCTGGCCCTGCGCCGGGTCTGGGTCCATAGACACACCATCCTGAGGTACCAGGGCAGATCCAGGTAGATACAGAGGACAGTCACGGTAACGGCCAGCACCAGCCCAGGGACCACGATGGTGACAATCAGCAGAGCCGTGTTGCATGACAGCTCAGATACATGGAAGTCCTTTAGAAGGGCTCCCTTATAGCTCTCCGGATAGTCACACTTATAAGAATCAGGCCAATCCTCTGCCACTTCACTGGATACTTGGCCGACACTTTGGATAAACTCTCTCAGCTCACAGGAACATTGGAATGGATTGTTCCCTGCTTTGAGGGACCTAATCTTCTGGCAGCTCTGGAAGAAATCAGCTGATGGATTGGAAATTGAATTATAATCAATGATCAGTATGGAAAGGCTGCTAAAGATACCACATCCAGGAAGGTGGGCTAAAGAATTGGAAGCAAGGTTGAGTTCTTGCAAAGTTCCTAGACCAGTGACATCTTTAGGGATGCTCCTTATTCTGTTATTGTGAAGATCAAGAACCTTGATCCGAGGAGGTAAACATCTGAAAACAGAGTCAGTGAGTGCATTTGAAGATAAATTTAATACCACTATACTCCCAGCCCAACTGCAATTTCCGTTATATCTGTCATATTCCAAAGAATTCCAGCTAACATCCAGTGTTTCCAAAGAAAGCATATCCTTAGTCATGAGACTTGTTTTGAAAAGGTCTTTTAATTCATTCTTTTGTAAGATAAGTGTCTCCAATCTAGTTAAAGTGCCACAATTTTGAAAGACACTATCTGTGAAAGCATTCTGGGTAAAGTTCAGAAACTTAAATGTGCTTGGTCCCTGAGGACAAAGCATGTGTATAAAGCGTGTGTCTGATATGGTTAACATCAGAATATTCATCTCAGAAAACAGTGTGTATACTGCTGCCTGTGAAAAAATAAAAACTTCATTTGTAATATCTTCTATTTTCAGTGCCTTCAATGTCGTTTTATAATAAGTAAAAACTTCTTCATCAATTTTTTCAACTATTGTTAAATTGTAAATATTGAGATATTCTACAGGTTTGGGCCAAAGGAATTGAAAAACTTTAACCAAACATTTCCAAGTTGTTTTCATATGGTTGAGGGTAAAATTTAGTAAGGTTGGTCCTCCAGTGAGTCCTGATAAAAATTTAAGTAAAACTTGACAATTGTCATCATTCAATTTAATATTAGTCAGTTGTAAGCACCCTAAACTATTCACTGATATGTTCACTTGGACAGAGAAAAAGCTATTTGGGTGAAAAACAAGGTGAAGTTTCTTTGTATTCAGAATTTGAAGGCTTTCTTTCTCTTCTTGCATATAATAATCTTCCAAATCCAGAAGGATACAACTTAGGTGCAAGTGAGCAACTGGTAGCAGATCTAACTGTTGTACCTTTGCAGCACCCAATCCTAAGAAATCCAGTTGGGTCAAGTTGCCAAACTCCTTACAGATGGGCAGGGCACCAAAGTCATTGAAGGATAGGTCTAAGTGTTTGAGGCTCGTGGTGATCGGATGGCAAGATATCTTCTGCAGCTGGTTGTGAGATAAATCCAAGTATTCCAAATCACGGTTGAACTTGAAAACACTAACATCAAGGCCCTGGATTCTATTATGGGAAAGTCTCAGAACTTTCAGCCCCGAGAGAAAGCTGACATCAGACAGGTGAAGCTCAGATATGTTGTTCTGAGACAAGTCTAAGACCTCGGTTTTTGGTGGCAGGTCTTTGGGAACATGAGTAAGGCTTGTTTTTGACATGTCTACCACAAATCCGCTTTCAACAGAGAACTGGATGATGGTTCCAAACACTAAGGCCACGATGTAAACAGAATGACGGCTTCTGATGGGAGATTCTTTGTCTTTGGTCATGGCGTTGAAGTGACTATCTCCCGGAGGGTTGGTGCTGTTCTTCAGAACATCCTGATACGCAGCCAATTCTAGAAATATAATATATGTTAAGATGTATAAACACTGGCTGATTACTCTCAATCCTCAGCTTACTAAACATGAAATCTCAACAAGTTCTTCATTTCCTATCAGGATCATTTCTGATCCCATAATTTAATATGCCATTTTTTTCCAGTTATGCAAGTTGCTGGTGCCAGGAAAGGCAATGAAGACCTTGTTATCAGAGAACTGTGGCGGTTGTTCCACCCAGGAGCCCGTCTTTGTTTATTCCAACTCAGAACTTTCTCAGGGCTGAAGCAGCTTCCTGGACAGTGTTTGGAAATCCTTAAAGGCATGTACACTACCCACAGCCACCTGGAGCCAGGGACAAGGGATGGTGCAGGCAGCACATATACCAAAACCAGAAAGAAAGAAGCTGGGAAAGAAGATACAGGGGCGAAAAAAGGCTTTGGACAGCTCCATGTATACCAAGCAACTGGGAAGGCCACATACATGCCCAGGTCTGGATGCACGCTCATAGAAGACCTGAAAAGAATCCTAAACTTCCACCACTGGTTGGCTTTTAGGCTCTGTGCAAGGGGAAAGGAAAGGCTAAGTCAGAGCTGTGACAGCCTGACAAGCTCTGAAGAAGTGTTTCCAAAAGAGCCAATATGCAAAGATCAGGCGTTTTTCGTTTTATTCTGTTTTCCCCAGATGTTTAAGAAAACCTCTGCCAAATCCCTAGCTGACCACTAAGCCAATGGAACAGAGAATTCAATGGGGACACACAAGAAGGAAAACAGTCTTTACAAAAATAGTTTATAAACATCACTAAACACGGCGCTTCCCTGGTGGTCCACCAGTTAAGAATCCACCTGCCAATGCAGGGGACAGGAGTTTGATCCTTGGTCTGGGAAGATCCCACATGCCTCGAGGCAAGCAAGCCGGTGAGCCACAACTACTGAGCCCAAGTACCACTACCACTGAAGCCAGAGCAGCCTAGAGCCTGGGCCCCTCACCGAGAGGAACTTCCACGATGAGACGCCCACTTGCCGCAACAGAGACAGCCCATGTGCAGCAATAAGATCTAGCAGAGCCAAAAATAAATAAATAAAAATGTGAAAAAAAAAATCCAAAAAAGAGGGGGCATATAAATACCTATAGCTGATTCACCTTTCTGTACAGAAGAAACCAATACAACATTGTGAAGCAACTATACTCCAAGAAAAAAAAAATTACTAAACAAACAAATACACCCCACAGCGAGCAGCAACAACCAACCCTGGGAAAGAGGAAAAGCTGACTTGCCACATTCTAGTATCTCCAGAGTTACCACATTATAATACCCAAACTGTCTGGTTGAAGAAAACAAGCTTGAGGCATGTGGACAAAAAAGAAAGCACTGTCCGTTCATAGGGAAAAAAAAATTAAAAGAACAGACTTAGAGAACTGACACAACCCAACTTCAAGTCTTACATAAAGCTGTAGCGATCAAGACAGTGCGGTACTGATAAAAGAATGGACAGACAGATCAATGGTTCAGAAGAGACAGCTCAAAAATATACCCACACAAATACAGTCAGCTGATCTTTGACAAAGAAGTAAAGAAAACTCAGAGAAGGAAGGCTAGTCTCTTTAACAAACAGTACTGGAACCACTAGACATTCTACATACAAAAAAGAAAAAAAAAAAGACGGTCTAGCTCAAGATAGATGTAAAATACAAAACTATAAAATTTCTAGAAGATAATATAGGGTAAAATCTAGGTGCCCATGAATTTGGCAATGACTTTTAGACACAACATTAAACGCACAATCCATGAAAGAAAAAAATGTTAAATTAGACTTCATTAAAATTAAATTTTTCTGCTTTGCAAAAGACACTATTACAAATGTGAAAAGACAAGCGACAGACTGGGAGAAAGTATTTGCAAAACACACATCTGATAAAGAACTTGTATCCAAAATAAATGAAGAAAAACTCAACAAAATATAAACAATGCAATTTAAAAACAGGCAAAAGATATTTCACCTAAGAAGACATACAAATGACAAATAAGGACATGAAAAGGTACTCAATACCATGTATCATCAGGGAACTGAAAATTAAAACAGCAATGAGGAACTACTACATACCTATTAGAATGGCCAAACAATCCTGAAACAACACTAAATGTTGGTGAGGAGATGGAGCAACAGGCACTTTCATTAACTGTTGAAATTCAAAAAGGCACAGATACTTTGGGAGACAGTCTGACAGTGTTTTTACTTAAAGCTAAACATGGCCTCACCATATGATCCAGCAATCACACTCCTAGGTATTAACCCGAACGAACTGGAGATCTGTGTCCACACAAAAACCTGCAGCTGGGTGTTGACAGCTTTATTCACAACTGCCCCCAAACTGCAAGCAACAAGATGCCCTTCAACAAGTGAAAAGGGTAAACAAGCTGTGCTCCATCCATCCAATGGATTGTTATTCAGCAACAAAAAGAAATAACCTGATGAGCCATGGAGGAACCAAAATTCAGATTGCTAAGTGAAGAAGTCAATCAGAAAAGGCTACCAACTGTATCATTCCAACGCTCTGACGTTCTGGAAAAGACAAAACTAAAGAGGCATTAAGGATCAGTGGTTGAGTTAGGAGGAGGGATGAATAGGCAGAGCACATAGGATTTTTAGGGCACTGAAACTACCTCCATGTGATACTATAATGGTGGATATATGATCTTATGCATTTGTCAAAACCTATAGGACAATGCAAGCCAAAGACTGAATCCTAATGTAAAGTATAGATGTTAGTTAATTATATGTCAATATCAGTTCATCAATTATAATAAACAGACCACTAACGAAAAATGTTATAACAGGGAAAATTGTGTCGAGTGAAAAAAGGGATATATGGGAATTCTCTAACCTATTTACTGAAATTTTCTATAAACCAGAAACTTCTCTAAAAAATAAAGTCCATTAATTAAAAAAAGGGAGAAGAAAAGAAGTCAATAGAAACTGTCCCCGAAAAAGCACATGCACTGATTTGTTTGCCAAAGACTTTAAATCAATTGTCTTAAAAGTTAACTACATTAAAAAAAATAAAAAAATAAAAATAAAAAGTTAACTACATGACCATGGTCTCTTTTCACTGGACTCAGAATACTTTATTTCTCTTTCAAAGGACAGTCCTCTTATCCCCTCCAAGTGTTTTACTGGTCAGTTTAATCATCTAAAATTATTCAAAAGGGTAAACAAGGAGCTACTGCCAGAAACTACAGACATCCTTGAGTCTACGTCAGTATTCACTTTGGTACTACTTCAACCATCTGCTGCAGCCAGTGATAACACCCTGCCATGGGTGAAGGGTTAACAAATCCATTTCTCTCCTTATTCACGGACAAATCTGGTCTCTTTTCTGAAAAGCTGAAACAAGGGGAATGTCAGCGGTGTTCTCAGAAAAAAGCACTTCTGGTAAAGATGACTGTTAAGGGGACTCCCCTTGTGGTCCAGGGTATAAAACCCTCCCAATGCAGGGGGCACAGGTTCACTCCCTGGTCATGGAACTAAGATCCCACATACCGCAACTAGCGTACCACAGCAAAGGCCCAGCACGGCCAATACAAATAATTTTTAAAATATGACCACTGAACAGTAAATAGCATCCAGGCTGAAAGAACTGTGTATGAACTATAAATACCATGTAGGGAACCTGAGCTCTATTTCCTCTCCTGTATCTTTCTTAGTAAAGTGGGACCAAGTGTGGCCTGGGCTTCCCAGATGGCACTAGTGGTTAAGAATCCACCTGCCAATGCAGGAGATGTAAGAGATACAGGTTCCATCCCTGGGTGCGGGAGATGCCCTGGAGAAGGAAATGGCAACCCATTCCAGTATTCTTGCCTAGAAAATCCCACGGACAGAGAAGCCTGAAGGGTCACAGTCCATGAGATCACAAAGAGCTGGACATGACTTAATCGATGGAGCACACAAGTGTGGCCTATTGGAGTTTGTGCATCTGAATTTTGAAATGAGCCTGAGAGGGCCTCGGGGTGAGTGTTGCAGATCCATGCCAACAGTGGGCTCAACCTTCAGATCCTCAACTCAATTTGGCTAAAGCAATATGAAATGAAAAGGATGGGGAGGAAGGTGGTTGACAAGTCCCTGAGGCCTGATTGGAAGGCCCATCCACCAGCAGCTTGACCCCTAAATGTCTATGGCATATGACAGGGGGTGAATCCTTTTGTGAGGGTAGATGAAAATGTGAGAAATGAGAGTTGGACCATAATGAAGACTGAGCGCTGAAGAATTGATGCTTTCTAATTGTGGTGGTGGAGAAGACTCTTGAAAGTCCCTTGGACTTTAAGGAGATCAAACCAGTCAATCCTAAAGGAAATCAACCCTGAATAGTCATTGGAACGATTTATGCTGAAGCTGAAGCTCCAACACTTTGGCCACCTGATGCGAAGAGCTGACTCATTGGAAAAGACCCTAATGTGGGGAAAGATTGAAGGCAGGAAGAGAAGGGGTGACAAAGGATGAGATGGTTAGATAGCATCACCAACTCAAGGGATGTGAATTTGAACAAATTCCAAGAGATAGTGGGGCACAGAAGAGCCTGGTATACTGAAGTCTATGAGGTCCCCAAGAGTCAGACATGACCTAGTGACTGAACAACCACACATGAAGATAGGAATGAGGCCACATTTATGTTACAAGAAAGAACTACTTACACTCTCTAATTCCATGAACTGGACTTCACCAAAACCAGCTGCAGCTGGCCTGGCAGAGATAACGCTACTCTTTGTGAAGCCATTTGAGAAGATACAGTTAATACAGGCCAAACCTGGCAATGACGACTAGCTGACGGGCGAAGGCGGATGCACCAGCCCACAGACCCCCTGACTGTGACTGAGACAGAGAGGTAACTAAAATTATGCCAAAGGTCAAGCAAGAAGCCAGTCCCAGCAATTCAGACACACACTCATAAGTCTA